CGCAGTGAGCGGCCGTCCAGAAGCCGGCGACTGATCTGCCTCGCCCGGGAAGAGTGCAATGATGGTGCCAACTTGGACCAGTGAAGCAACGTCCTCCACAACTAGACTGAAGAACAAAACGACAGCAACCTGTCTGTTCCCCTTCCCCCAATTCCCCAGCACTGTTCCCATCTCCCAAATTCCCCAATAAAAATCTTAAAAAAAAAAAAAGTTCTGGATATCAGTTGCACAACAATGTAAATATACTTCACACTACTGAACTGTACACTTAAAAATGGCTACGATGGTAAATTTTATGTGTATTTTATCACAGTTACAAATTTTTTTAAAAAAATAGGCAAAGGACTTGAATAGACATTTCTCCAAAAAAGAAAAAAAAAAAAACGGCCAACAAGCACATGAAAAGATGATCAACAAGTCACTTGGGAAATACAAGTCAAAACCCTAATGAGATACCACTTTACACCCAGTAGGAAGGTCATCATTAAAAAGCAGGAAAATGGGCCGGCCGAGTGGCTCAGTTGGTTAGGAGCTCGCTCAAGAGTGTGCGCTCTGAGCAACAGCAGTTCGAGTCCTGGCCTGAGCTGAGCTGCCGCTGAGCTGCCAACAGGTGGCAGGATGGCTCAGCTGAAAAAAAAAAGCAGGAAAATAACAAGTGTTGGCAAGGATGTAGATGAATTGGAACCCTAGTATATTGATGGTAAGAATGTAAAATAGTACAGGCTCTGTGGAAAACTGGCAGCTAAAGAGTTAAACACAGAATTATCACATGATCCTGCAACTGCACTTCTGAGTATGTACCCAAAAGAAGTGAAATCAGGTACTAAAAAGAGAATACATACATGCATAGTCATAGCAGCACTATTCGCAGTACCCAGGTGGTGCAAACAACCCAAATGTCCAATGTGGGATGAATGGATAAACAATACGGTACATCTACACAACGGAAAATGATGCAGCCATAAAAAGGAAAGAAGTAAAGATGTGTGCTGCAGCGTGGATGAACCTTGAACACATGAATGAGCCAGACACAAAAGGTCACATATTGTATTGATTCCATTTATGAAACACTTCGAATAAGTAAATCCATGGAGGTAGAAAGCAGATTGTGGACTATAGGAGCTAAAAGGAAAGGTGAACAGGGTGTAACTGCTTAATGAGTATTTTGGGGTGATAAAAATGTTTTGGAACTAGGTAGAAGTGGTGATTGCACATTAAGAATGTACTAAATGCCACTGATTTGTTCACATTAAAATGGTTAATTTTGTTGCATGAGTTTTACTTCAATTAAAAAAACCAAAATTCAATGTTAATGGTAGTTTCAAAGTATTAGAAGAAAATCATAAACATATGAACACTACCAATCTCTGCAGTATAGAGTTAGGAGTGTATTTGGTTTTCTTCTTTTCGCTAAATCACATTTTGCAAAATGTCTCTTGTGAACATGAACTACTCTTAAATAATACTTTTAAAAAGTCTGTTGCCCTGAATTGCATGTCCAGTCAAAGGAAGAACAAATCGCTGGTTAGGATTGGCATGGTGTAGACAGGGATAAAAAACAGGTCTATCAGTTCTAAAAGACGTTATATTCAAGTTATAACAGTGACCCTGAGTTGTGTATTTTTCCTTTTACTATTCCCTAAGAGTTACACAGATGTAGACAAAGCAGAGGCAAGTTTGGAGGTGTAAGTGGACTCTCCCGTTTATGCAGAATGATCGGACATGATCAGCCATGCTGACTGGGGATGCTGGGTAATGAGGATTCAGAAGACTGTCAACATTAATGACAGAAACTGTCAGGGTGCAGTGATAAAGCTGTTCTCATGTATTGCGTGTGTACTGGAAATGAAGACAAGCTAGAAAACTGAAGTGACTGGAGCTGGGACTGGACAGGGTGGAGGGACAGTCATTCTTCAAGAGATGACGTAAGTGACAGCAGACAGCAGCTCTGCTTCTCTTGGGAACCTGGTGAGCTACTTAAACAGTACCCAGAATGCTTTTTGCTTCTATATTAGGAAAGACTTAATTTGAAGAGTAGTGGCTTCTCAAATGCAAGTCCAAGGGAGACTTCCACTGTCTCCTTTAAGCATAGGTCAAGTTAAGACTTAAAGCCTACAGACTAGAGGACTCGGAAAAGATGCTTTCAAAGCAAGATAATTCTGCAACCTTTGATCTAATTAATTCTGTTTGAAGAGTCTGACTTATTTATGAGAGATGAGCTTTGGAAAAGTGATGTTGGGAGCCAAAACATCCCATCCAAATCCCTGTCCAGACCCTCCTGCCAAAGATGCTGGTGCTGGATCACATTTTCTGTAACAGACCCATGAGGGTATGCTGGAAGATAACATCAACCAAACACAAGCTCTGCTGTGCATTGTTCAGATGCTCATGTCTCAGTCTAGTTCTAACCCAAGGGTGGAGACATGCACGTTGTGTAACAGTCAGCTGCTGAAAGGCAACCCTGGAAGTGGCACAAAATGGTTGCAGAGTTTCTCATGCTTGACTCAAAGCCACAGAGGTATAGTGCAAGTCACAGACATGGTAAAATCCCTGCCCTGGAATGCCAGCTGCAAGCCCTCTTCAGATAAAAAGGAAAGAATGTAGTTAAGAACTTTATCATTCAAATACCTGTCCCCAGGGACCCGCCTGCCAGGACGCACATTCTGGCTGCTGACAGGTCTGCATGGAGGCCGGCTTGGTCTCAGGGTCACAGGTCCTATCATTTAATCGATCTTCGCCAAACTGACACCAGACCTGGCGGTGCTTGTGCCCTCTTCCGCAGGTGACCAGGCACTGGAATGAAAAGCACAGCCAGTCAGGGTCATTGCCAAGAAGTGTGGGTCCCAGGGGTTACTCATTGACTAGCAGGAACAGGTGTGCTTTTTTCCCACAGCAATTCTTCTCTCCCACAGCAATTTGTAAATATAGCAAGGCTCATTCCATTCATTCATTCGCTCATTCACTCATTCATTCAGTATTTATACAGGCTCTGGGCCAGTTTCAAGCACAGAGTAAACAACACAGCACCATGCTCTGAAATACTGAAGAACGGCATTCATGGTTTTCTAGTGTAGGAGTTAAGTGTGGGGAACTTATCAGTCAGACCAACCTGGGTTTTAATCCAGAGGGCAAGTGACCTGTTTATACCTCAGTTTTCTCATCTGTCCAATAGGGACAATAGTCCCTACTGCAAAGAACAGTGCAAACTAACTGAAAACAAATTCAGGTGACGTGCGCACCACATGTTCATTTAATAAATGTTAAATATAATCATAATCTATGCTCATTATAAAAAACTTGAAAAATACAAAAAACATAAAAGAAAACTATTATGATCCAAAAATCTCACTGCCCAGAGATAATCATTAACATAATTATTTTGCTGTTTTCTTCTCTAGCTACAAAATGTTGGATCATACTGAATATGTAATATAGTTTGATAGTTCCAGCTTCCAGTTCAGCGGTTCTCAACCTGTGGGTTGCGACCCCTTTGGGGGTCGAACGACCCTTTCACAGGGGTCGCCTAAGACCATCAGAAAATGAAAAGATATTTACATTACGATTCATAACAGTAACAAAATTAGTTATAGAGTAGCAAGGAAAATAATTTTATGGTTGGGGGTCACCACAACATGAGGAACTGTATTAAGGGGTCGCGGCATTAGGAAGGTTGAGAACCGCTCTTCCAATTGATCAAGCATTCTTGCAAAAGTTTGTTAATTTGAAATGGTACTTCAGCTAATACTAGCTATCTAAGAAAAACCTAATACCTTCTTTCATCTCTTTTTAACCAACACTAGAGTTTAAGATAAGGTGGCTTGTTAACATAGAATAAAAGCATTAGGTTCGTTGTTAATTTACCCAGGAATCAGAAACTGTTAATCACATGCCCTGTTACTTGTCTGCCATTTCAGGGGCATTAACAGTATACTTTTTTTTTTTTTTTAAGCTGAGCCATCCTGCTACCTGTTGGCAGCTCAGCGGCTGCTCAGCTCAGGCCGGGACTCAAACCGCTGTTGCTCAGAGCTCAAACCCTTGAACGAGCTCTTAACCAACTGAGCCACTTGGCCAGCCCAACAGTATCCTTTTAAGAGTCACATTTTATTTGATGTTGAAAGTAAACAGTTACCTTCTGCTTGCATGGATAAGGGAATGTACACAGAAACTATTAGTAGGGAAACACCTCTTTCCCCACATTCCTGGCCTGGCCCATAAATAAGGGAACTTCCGTTCCCCTTCCACTGGCTCTCCCAGAAGGAAGGTGGAAGGAGTCCTGCTCAGTGAGAGTCTCACAGGGCTACGTTAATAGTGAGTGCTAACACTACTATAAAAGCAAGGAAGAGGCCCCACTTCCTTTCTCTCACTGTCCTGGGGCTACCTGTGTTCGATAATGGATGGTGTGCCTTATGCTTCATCAGGTAAGGGATGAGAAAGGCATAAATCTGGAATACTCAGTCTGGTCCTTTCTCTTTTCTCCAAGTTTCCACTGGCAACTGGATGGATAAGTCAGATAGGTCACTCCCTGGGGTCTAATTCTCCTGTTTGAAAGATGAGGAAGTAGGAAACCTCATCTTCCACTTCAGCTCTAAGCCAGTATATTTTTATAATTCCTAAAGCCCCAATTTCCTTTACAGTGACTTAGCAAGGGCTCAAAGAGGAGAAAAGACGAGGGACCAGAACTTCAAAATCACAAACAGAAGCTGCTATGGCCGGTGATCCAGCTAAACCCACTGTGCCTCTGAGGTCGCCAGTGGACCTGCCACGTCCAGTACCACAATCATGGAGAGGGTAGAGGACAGGGTGGCAGGGGTTGGGGGTGTGTGTGTGAGAAAGGTACAGTAGGTTTAACCTTGAACAAGCCAGGGGAGACTCAAAATTAGAGTATCAGTCAGACCTAGGGCTGTTATTACAGACCTCCCATCTCACCTCTGACCAGTCTCCCGATTTCCACTGTGGACAGGGGAACTCATTGCACCTCTGAATGGTGACCTTCTCTTGATGGGTGCATTTGCTGTCATCCAGCACATCATTTTGTGTGTTGACACAAATAGCCCTTCTCCTCTGGGCTCCACCATCACAGCTTCTAGAACACTGAGAAGATAAAAATCTACATCAATCCGTTGCTGAGTTTCTTATCAAGCATGCTCAAAATCCTGGCTATGCTGACTTGTCTCAGCCAGATCTTAAGAAACAACCCACCAACCAACCCTGGCCAATTCTAGTTGTTATTCTGTGGCTCTCTTTTCGTGTTATCAATTTATTTACCAGGTTTACAGAAAGTATTAGCAAATAGACATAGGAAAATGAAATGGAAAATGGCCCATGGGGTATGGAAAAAGTGATTGGTTGAGTTGTTCCACCACTCCCAATTTTCCACATGCCGTGGCCATCTCAGACATTACAAATTAATCGTGATGCACTTTTCTGTAGAATTTGAGTGGAGCCAGGCATTATAAATAAATCATGGTAGTCTTTATTGTACAGCTAAATGGGGCTTCTCCACACAGCCCTAACTAATGAATTTGTTGATTTGTCACCATCAACTTATCAGACAGCATTCAAGAAGGAGATTCTGTTTGAGAGAGAACCAACTTACTTCTGTCCAAGCAGAATAGCGCCAACCACCTGTGTTACATTCTCCAGAGCATTTTTCCTGGTTGCTTGGTTTGGGGTGACTGCTGCAAAAACTGTCATCAACCCTTTCAGTCTTCCCATCTTGCCGACTATATTTGGCACAGTAGATGTCCAGTGTGCGGTAACCCAAGCCGCACTGGGCACTACATTCACTCCTGCTGGCAACGTGCCACCTGTGCATAACAATGGGGAGAAACCAGCATTTCTGTTAAATACATATAAGTCTTATCTATATTCAACTGGTGTCAGAGTTGAGTTCATTTTTCTTCCTTAACTCAAATACCACAAAACCCAAAGTCACAGTCAGTTGCTGAAATCCAATTTTAAACCAACATATCTCTGTATTTTTCATGGCTGCCAATGTACATAGAAGTCACAGAGTGATAACCAGAGGTTCTATCTTTGTGAAGATCCTCCCCTGATAGAGTCAATCTAAAATTCAAGCAACCAAAAAGAAAAAAAAGAAAAAAGACATTGGAATTCAACAAAGCAAAAACAACAATTTTATATTTAAAAGGTTCACGCTACCCAGCATTTCATTTATCAAGTAGACTGCTTCTAGCAGAGAACCACTGTTAGAAACTCTCTCTAGGAAATCTCCTTTCTGTGGGCTAGAAAGTGCTCACTGAACATTCTGTGAATTAACAAAGGAATGGATAATTTGGACTGCAATTGTGAATTTCAAGCGTGCTAAACTGTTTACATTACTATCTGTGAATAAAGACTGTAAGATCCTTGAAGACGTGGACCATACATAGTCTATGCAACTCAATTACACAATTTAAAGAATACTTTATTTTTTTAGAGTCGCTTTAGGCCCGTGGCAAAGTTGAGAGGAAGGTACAGAGATTTCAGGCCCCTGCCTCCACACACTCAGAGCCTCCTCCATTACCAGCATCCCCACCAGAGCGGTACATCTGTTATGATGGATGAACCTACATCAAAGTCATCATTATCACAGTCCACAGTTTACATCAGGGTCACTTTTGGTGGTATACATTCTATGGATTTGGACAAATGTATAACGGCATGTATTCATCATTATAGTATCATACAGAATATGTCCACTGCCCTAAAAATCCTCTGTGCTCCACCTGCTATTCATACCTCACTGCTCCATGATATACATTTAAAAAATGAGATTCAAGTCTACAAATCTTTGGCACCTACTGTACCTTTGTATCTACAGTACGTAAGCCTTTCTTGGCATACAATAGGTGCTCAGAATGGGATAATAAATTGACTGGTACTTTTAATGCCCGAGGAACATGATCAATGTTTATATTCAAAAAGAAAAAAAATGCTTAAACTGAATAGAATAGTCTAAATAAGTGAACTTGAAATATATTTTGTTGATTAAATGTAGCAATCCAAAAAGATTAATGTCTTTATAATCTTCATTTGGAGTCACTCTTGACTGTTAATTCTCTGCTGCTCAGAAAATCGGTGGTTTGGTGAACACCAATGCTCTAAGAATTTTTCTGTCCTCACCTGTCCAGAGGGAGGACTCAGGAAGAAAATAGGAGTACTGGACACATGTCTATCTTGGAATTTCTCACAAATGCTCAAAAGTAGGTCAGAGTTGACCTACTTCCACATTTGGCATGTAAAGCAGGCTACTGAGATTTTCCGTTAGAGTGACAAAGTATTTTAGGAACTTTGTTCTAACCTGAACATGTGAAAGGAGGGACGGTAAAACAATGCTTTATCTCATCCTGTCAAAGTTTAATCAGGGCAAGCTCTCACTTCCCAAAGGAAATGAGGCAAAAATGCGGACCCATTCAACAGAAGCATCTAGAACTTTCATTTGCCCTGCGATTCTTGGCTACCTTCTCTTTGCCTTCATCACCATTTCCTTGTGGAAAGGCCATTTTCCATCCTGGATAATGGAGGCCGGAGTCCTGCCCCCACATGAAAGCACTCCAGCGGCTCAGCCTGGAAAAGTATAGAAGAGTCTCCTTGATATTCACACAATCCCCGGAATCTGAGCAGAGAGCCTTGGAGAGTCTCCAAAAGGTCACACAATGCCTTGGGAAAGTTCTTCTCAAAATGCTATCATCTCTATGCTTCACAGTGTCTCCCTGTAAGGTTGTCTCAACTTCAGTGTTTTGAATTCATTCAGTTCCTTTCATGTAACAATTATATTTTATTACTATATTTCAGAAAAGCAAAGTATTTGTTAATAAGTAAAAACCAAAATAGTGTGGTCTCTGTGGGTGTGTGGGGCATTAAATAATTTGGGGAGCTAATGATTTAATCAGGGTTCTATATTGCAGAGTTTTTCAGGGCCTTCAAAACATTAATCAGCATTATGAATCTCCACCTCGGCGAGGAGATAAGTCAGTGAAGCTTCTCAGACATTCTGGTCCACCATGGGCTGTCTTGTGGAGCTAGTGTTCCATAAACATGCTTTAGGAAAAACTATTTTAGAGTTTGACCAATCAATAACAATCTTCAGTCTTTCAGTTTTGCATTCAGCCACTTGGCAGTAATTAATATCAATCACAATTATAGCAATTGTCAGGTTGACAAGAAAGATGGAACAAGTTCTTTGGGCTCAGTTTGCGTCTTTGTATGTTTTTCAGTGAACAATATTTTTCCAACAGTCCATAAGACCCATGAAGATATGAGTTTGAATGATGACAAATAAATACGATCTATTTAATTTCAGATGTGAGCATGCACCTGCCTAGTTACCAGGCTTTATAAGTTAATCCTTAACTCTCCTTTTTTTCATTTCATTTTTAAATTCTTACTCCTAAGGTCTGTCATTTTTACCAGACATTTCTACCAAAAGACATGGCTACAATTCCTTCACCTTCTTTTCTTTAATCAGCCAGAGATACTACTATCATCCAAACCTATTCCCTGAGCTGCTGTCCCCCTTTGCTCTCAGGAAAGTCTAAGTATTTCTTTTTTAAATATAAAAAAAGGTGGCTTTCTCCAAATGGGGAATTCAGAATAGCACTTCTGCACATCTACTATTGGGTTGTCGGTAAAGTCATGACGCATTTTTGCATTGAAAAACATAGAAAAATATGTCATGACTTTCCCAACGACCCAATAGATAACATGAATAGATTTTAAGCCCTGGTTTTACCTAGGTATCGTGAAAGGATTTTTAATAAAAGTCAGAGGATGAGTTATGGAATCAGAAAGACCTGGGTGTGAATGCAAGCTCTGACACATTTTAGCTATTGACCCTGGGCAGGTCAATAGACCTCACCGAGACTCAGCTTCCCATCTGTAAAGTGGGGGAAAATAGGATCCACTTCACAGGGCTACTGGGAAGACTATGAGGCAAGGCATGTGTAGCATTTAACACACATGGCACCCATGCAAGATGGGTAGCTATTACTATTATTTTATTACTCTTGGTGTTTTATTCTCCAGCCATGTTCTAAGTGTCACGTAACTCCACATAAACCAATAATAGTTTGAGGAGAAATCCAGTTGAGATCTTCTGTATAATTCTACATAAAAGCCTCATGGATTCGAGGCTACCTTTCAATGCATTCGCTTTCTAAAATTTGCTTTAGTTTTTGTTTTACATCTGAAAGCTTCTAGTGCAGGAGAACCTTTGGAGAAAGAACATCATACTAGCCAGCTTCATTACAAACTCAATTATGGCTTATTTTGGAATCTGTTTGAAGTGAAATTTTTAGTTTCTTGAAATAATGGTTCAAACTTTATCTCAAACGGGGGCTGCTTGGGTAAACTTTAAGCAGGTTTTTTAAAGAATCATTTATATTTTTTTATGGTCATGTTCTATTCCTCAAAGTGCTTTGACAAACTTCCCTTCCCTACAATTATGAGTATGCTTAGTGCTACATACAGGAGTTCCACAGTATCTACATTTATCATTTGAGACTCTCCCAGCTCAGTCTGATTCAGTCGGTTGAGAAATGACAGCTAAGGGGTCCAAGGAAGGTAGGGAACAGGGATGAGCAGGAAATTCCTGGGAGTTATTTCTTTTCACAAACAGAGAAAAGCTACAAAGAATGCAATCAATGAGTATCACTCATTATGACTGAATTAAAAATGAAAACAGCTTTCTCCTAGGGTTTAAGAGTACAGGCTCGGGCCGGCCGAATGGCATGATGGTTAAGAACTGGCTTGGGATGCCAGAGGGCCCTGGTTCGGATCCCACATATGAGGGCCAGTGACACTGCCCTCTGCAGCTAAGATGCTGAATAATGGCTCAACCTGGAGCTGGGCTGCCTGTGAGTTGCCAGCGACGGCATAGGCTGCAGCCCCTGCTGCAGTGGGTTGCCATGGGCTACCGTGTGTAGCCAGCAGCCGCAGTGAGCGGCCGTCCAGAAGCCAGTGACTGATGTGCTTCGCCTGGGAAGAGTGCAATGATGGTGCCAACTTGGGCCAGTGAAGCAACGTCCTCCACAACTAGACCGAAGAACAAAACAACAGCAATTTGTCTGTTCCCCTTCCCCCAATTCCCCAACGCTGTACCCATCCCTCCAATTCCCCAATTAAAACAAAAATCTTAAAAAAAAAAAAAAAAGAGTACAGGCTCAAGGGTCAGACAGACCACATTTAAATCCTGTCCCTTCACTAACTAGTCATGTGACCCTGGGCAATTTGTTTAACTTCTCTCAGCCTCTCCTTTTTCTATTTGTTAATTGGGAATAATTAATACTTACGTCATTGTGTTCTTTAAAGATTAATAGGTTATTAATAAAATAATAGGACATTATAATAGGATATTATTAATTATATTAGTAGGATAAAATTTTATATATATATATATATATATATATATATATATATAAGAACTACCCAATTAATATAAGACTATCTTATTACTACACTATTAATAGGATAATACACAACTGTTAATAATAGTTCTTAGTAAATGGTTGACTATTAACTTGCAGAGTGGTTACCACTCTGAATAATATAATTACTATCAATTACTAATTATTAGTGATATAATGACATTATCAATAATTTGATATAAGGCTAATTGGAAAATGTCATCTTTCCCAATTTATTCAGGTTGTGCTTCAAGGAATATATGCACCAATTCAATGTTTCCCCCCCTAAACTTCAGTGATTAATTCAGTCCAGCATTAGCTAACTAATTATTTTTCTGAAAAGACCTTTAACTCTAATTTAGCTCAATTTGCTGAAGCAACGGGTTTATATGGACATTACCTGTAACAAGAATTAATACTGCCTAGCATAAATATCTCCTTTTTTAATGCCTTGGGCTTTTCTTTCTACAAAGACTTCTGTCAATGCTTTCTGACAAGCCAATGAACAAGTTGGTCAGTGACACTGGGTAGAGGGGAAGTGTAGTGGGGTGGGAAGAGTCAGGGCCTCCAAGTCAGAAACCTTAGGTCAGGACTGGCAAAGATGTGGCACTCGTGCCATGTCTCCCCTTCCTGTTCCCATGGCAGACATCACTAATTGATCACAGCACTCCTCTTTTCTCTCATAACCTTGAGAATGCTTTATCATCTTCACTGTAGCATACAGGCTGCCAATACCACTTGATAGGATTTGGCATGGTGATGTGGAACCTGCAAAATGCTTAAGTATTCACTTTGTTATTTATGAATGGTGAGATCTTAAGTTCCCATGCCATTCTACATTTATAATTCCTCTTCTGTAAAAGGAGGATAAAGCAGCAATTCATCTTACCTGCACTTAACCGATATGCAAACTATACTGTACCGCCCCCAAGCTATTTAATATTCAAATATGACACAGTCAACCTAGCAGGCAAATGGAAAGCTTCAGAATTTTCCACCCGTCCACCATTTGCTGCCTCAGATTTCAGACTTTTCTTAAATACAAAATTCTTTGGCTTTTTAGACCTCCGTATGTAGATTTTCTTCTAATTCCTTCTATGACTCCGCCTTAGTGCACTGCAACTTTCATGTTCTACTAGGGGATATATACTCTGGGTGGATACAGAACGCTACAGGTTCTTTGATGGATAGTTTCCCCTTTTTCTGTTGACTTTCAAGCCAAACTTTTGCCATAAGATGTGATTCAATCATAATAATACCTACGCAGTGAGTTGTGGTGCTCAAATGAGAAATTTTTTTGGCAAGTGCCACACTCTATTAGCTATTTTTAATTCTTAGGAGAGGAATAAGACATTTGCAGGTATGTGTCGTGGATAATCAGTTTAGAGGGATGGCAGATTGGCTAATGCTTCTTTCACAGAAACACAAGGAAGGGGCAACATCCCTCCTTCTGCTCCTCATAAGCAGCGAACCTCCTACAAGACCCTCAAAACTCAGTAGTAAAGGCCTTAAAGAAACACGGGCCTTACCTCAGGTCACAGTCGGTGCTGCAGGGTTCAGTAACAGGTTCTGGCTGGGGCAGCCGATCGCATCTTTGATCAGAAACTGTCAGCTGGTCAGATTCCCTGGTGCAAACAGGTTTTCGTTTCCGCTCCCCTAAGCAGGGGGGAAAAATTATTCAGAAAAAACCTATCCCATAGGCTATTTAGACCAGGGGTTGAGAAACAGTTCCTTTTAAGGGTTAGATAGTAAATAATGTTAGTTTTGTGGGCCATATGACCTCTGTTGCAGCTATTCAACTGTGCCATTATAGGGCAAAAGCAGCTGCTCATGGAAGAAAATGGCGTGGCTGTGTTTAATCAAATTTTATTTATAAAAGCAGGCAATGAGCTGGCTTTGGCCCCCTGGCTGTGGTTTGCTAACCCTTAATTTAGACAGAAAAAAAATGAAACAAATAGAATATAACACAACTACCACATCTATATCTCTGAGAAATCAAAGAGCTGATTTCACTTGGTTTTACAGGTGTGCAAACCTTGTAGGATGAGGAAACCTAACAGATCCTGTGCTCCTTAAAAAGCGTAACTTGCCAGCCAAAAGTAACAAGACAGACTCAGAGGGTGGAGATTAGAGAATGCATGCAGATAGAAAGTTTTATAAATTGCATGTGTTTGGCTGTTTCTTATAAAACATTTTTAAACAATTCATTTTTTTTAACTCAAAAACAACTCAAAATGAAATAAGTTAGATAGAGAAAGAAGAGCTGTACGATTTCACTGAAATGTGGAATCTAAAAGGAGAACCAAACTCATAGAAACAGAGGTCAGATTGGTGGCTGCCAGAGGTACAGGTTGCCAGAGGAGTAGGGGTTGAGAAAAATGGATTGAAAGTAGCCAAAGCTACAAACTTTCAGTTATAAGGTAAGTCCTGGGGATATAATATATGGCATGGTGACTACAGTTAACAATACTATCTTGTATATTTGAAAGTTGCTAAGAGAGTAGATCCTAAAAGTTCTCATCACAAGAAAAAGATAATTTATAATTACATGTGATGGTGGATGATAACTTACGGTGGTCATTATTTTGCAATATATCAAATCTTTACATTGTGCACCCTTAACTTATACAATGTTGTAATGTCAAATATATCTCAAAACTGGAAGAACGAACAAACAAAAAAAGTATTCCTCAAATCCCTCAAACTCAATCTGAACGTTGATACCTTGGCAGGGTTTGCTGCACACTTGCCAGGGTCCATGGCTGTTCCAGTAAAACTGCTGGGGCTTGCCTTCGATTGGGATGTTGAAAGAATAGCGCACGTCGGGGTTGTATAACTTCCCCACTGACAACACCTGGGATGTGCAGACAAAATGGAGAGGATGTTTGCAGGTCCGGGGATTCCAAGTGGAAGAAAAGGGTGGTGGGCTCATGGCCAAGTTTTTACCTGAAGCAAAAGTTCTTGTTCAATGCGATCCGTGCAGTTAATTCTCTCGACGACATTGTCAGAGCCACTGTACTCTATTACGGCATTCCCAAGACGGATTTCCCTTTTGGACATAGTGACAACGAAGTCTCCATTCAGCAAGAATTCACCTTTACTGTTGGATAAAGCTGCAGGTGAAAAAAGAGAATTCACTGATTTGCTGCCAATGACTCGCTGTTTGAAATATAACACTTAGCTAGGCAGAGTCAGGGTGCAAAGAGTGTGGACTTTCCAGCCAAACAGGCATGGACTTAAATCCTACTTTTGCCACTTGCCTCACTTTCCCTCACTCTGTCTCCATTTCTTTATCTCTAAAATAGAGATGAAAACACCTAGCCTTCAAGGTGTTTGTCAAAATTAAGTGAAATATAAGCATCATAATTAGCTTGGGGTTTATTAGACAAGCCCCACAGTTACATAGCAAAAGTGCTATGACTTGAAACTATGTACAGCCAACTGAACACTTACAAAATTGGTTCCCACACAAATATACCCCTCTGCTTAATATCAGATTTAGTTGGGCTGAATGAATCTTTGTTAGTCTTCTTTGTTTGACAGATGTTGGAATCTTAAAATCCACGGCCAATATGATGTCACTTTTTCAGTGAGGCCCAGTGTGGTAGCCAGCCTCCAATACGGGCCCAATGACCCTTGCCTCCTAGCACTCACATCTCCTTTGATGCTAAATAGCACTGACTGTGTCATCACGAGGACATTGTGGAAATGACAGTGTGACTTCCAAGCCCAGGTCAAAGGCAGTGTGGCTCCATCTTGCTCTTCCTTGAATCTCTCGTTTTAGAAAAAGTCAGCTGCCATGTTATAAGGATACCTAAGCAGCCCCACTGAGGGGCCTCCTGCAAACAGAGGCGAATGGAAACCTTCTGCCAGTATCGTCTGAGTGAGGCACCTGGGAAATGGGTCCACCAGCCCCGGTCAAGTTTCAGGTGTGACCACCATCCTAACTGAAGCCTTGATGGCCATCTCAGGAGACCCCTCATGCCTGAAACACCCAGCTGTGCTGCTCCCAAATTCCTGACACACAAAAGCTGGGAGATAGTATATATTTGTTGTTCTGAGCCACTATGTTTTCAGATAATTTGTTAAAGAATAAAAGTTGTGTCCAGGGGTTGGCCGAGTGGCTCAGTTGGTTAAGAGTTAGCTTAAGAGTGCGAGCTCTGAGCAACAGGGCCGCCGGTTCAATTCCCACATGGGCCAGTGATGCTGCACCCAAGCTGAGCTGTCACTGAGCTGCCAACACGTGGCAGGATGGCTCAGCTGGTATAATAACAAGATTGCCTATTCAATGGTAGTCTACGCCCACCTGCAACTAAGAGTGAACTCGGCAAATTGAGCTGAGCTGCCACCCAGATGGCTCAGTGGATAGAGCGTGCGCTCTTAACAATAAGGCTGCTGGGTTCAACTTCCGCATGGGATGGTGGCTATGCCCACCTGCAACTAAGATTGTAACACAGCACCTTGAGCTTAGAGGCCACGAGCTCTGATGGGCAGCCAGATGGCGACTGGCACCCTCCACAACGAAGACTGAAGAACAACAACTTGGCTAGTCCCCTTCCCCAGTTCCTCAACACTGTTCCCCTCCCCCAATTAAAAAAAAAAGAATAAAAGCTGTTTAATACACTATCTCAGACCATTAGTTTTAAAATGGGAACCCCGCCCCTCCCACTGCCAGCACAGGTGTCATACTCCTTATTCAACTTTCCACTTTATTTGTCTTCATAGTACTTTGTTCACGCTCTCTCTCCCCAAGCATGAATGCAAGCCCCATTATGGTAGGGATTTGGGGAAATCCCCAAATATTCCCTACTATATCCTGGCTTCTGAGAAAGCCCTTGGCAGGTACTCAATAAATTCTTTCTTTGGAAGAATGAATGAATCTACTGCAGATCTTCCAAAAGATGAAGCAATCAGTGAAGCTGAAGAAATAATGTTGGAGAACTGCATGAGTCAAGTGCCAAAATACTGGCCGATGGAGGACCTGACAGATCAGTAAGAAACTTAAGAAAAGGAAAGAAAATTGACAAGGAAGCTGAGATGACAGCTGTTTTCAGAAGGAAGAATTTATTTATCAAAGTGTCAAGAGAGGCTACTGAGAAAGTGAATAAAGCCCCAAGAAGCTTTTATAAAAATGACTCAGTTTCAGAGTTTAGTGTTAAATTCAAATGTCAAGTGAAGGTGTACTACTTTGTTATCATATGACTTGACTGGAAAACTCAGGCAAAAATATTTATCAATTGTTTATTCTCTATACCAAAAACCTGGGCATGATTGAAATGAAAACATAATTTTGTTGACCATAAGGAAAAATACATTTATTTTCATACTTTTTAATTTTTTTCTCAAGACAAAATCCCAATCCTATCTTTCTAGTGTTTACTATTAAAAGGTTGGTTTTAATTACCTTTTTTTTCCCCCCTGGTAACCCTGGTCCTTGGATAATAAATCCTCCTGAGTACTGGGCTGGATATGAAATTGGCATTCAGTCATCAGAGTTATTAAAAATTTGGGCTCTGAATAACACACTAGAAAAAGGTCTCCTTACCGTTTGTAAACTGTGCATGATTAACAAATCTCAGCAGGAAGGGAACCCTTGACATGTATTTAGGTGAATAAAGGGAACGTGACATTTAACTCACGGAGAGCAGATAGGTTTCGTCCCAGGCACCAGTGTTAATCAGTTGGTGCTAGCTGCCCAAGAAGCTATGCAGAGCAGGAGTCGCTGGCAGCTTCATGTCTCAGCACCATTTCAATGACATCTGTCTTGGTTGTGGGATGGGGAGTCGCCAAAATGTCTTATGTATTTGCGACACCCTAACCCTAACCTAACCTAACTTTCATTGATGCAAGTAACGTGCTGTCTTTTACCACGCAGGCCAGAGCAATGTGTATGTAGAAGGGGTCTAAGGATGTAGGGAAAGTAGAGATTGCCCTCTATGTGGAGATTAACGGGGACTGAGATGAAGCTCTGAATAGTCTTTGTGGCTCAGTGGCAGCAGGGCTCTTGTTTCCTTGGACAGGGGAACCTCGCAGGGTTCACTCAGGTGGAGACCCTGTCCCAGGGGCAAGGACTACCTTTTACAGGGAGTTAAGTGCATGGAATTCTGTCCCTAATCCAGGACTGCACTTATCAGAATTCCCACCCTTGTGAGCCCCGTCTTGGCCCTGAGGGAAGAATAAGATGCCCCCATTTGAAATGGTGGGAAAGAATGTGGTGATACAGGGGGAAAGCTTTCAAAAAGACTTTGAAAATCCTCCAAAATCTTGGCTGCTTCTTCTTAGCTCAACATTCTTGGGTAGTCCCTACTACCTACAGAATTTAGTTCAAATTCCTTAGCATAACTTTCCTGTTTCTTTACAAAGCTAATCCTGACCTCTTTTCCCAGCCTCACCATTCACTTCCACCAGTAAACCTATTTCCAGTCATGCATATCGCCTGGTCAGGTCAGCCATACTTTATTCTACATGGGGACAGTAAAGTGAAGTGGTTAAGGGTGTAGGGTCTGAAATGAAACAAGTAAGGATTCCAGTTATTCCTACTTTCTGTTTGTGTGATCTTGGGTAAGTTACTTAACCTCTCTAAGCCTCAGTTTCTTCCTCTGTATAATGGGTTTCTCATAGAATTGTTAAGAACATTAAGCATGACAGGACATATAGGCTTCTGTTCCTGGCAGATCATAAGGCCTTTATATGCACTGTCTCTTGATCATACCCTTATAGATGCCTAACTTATGGGTGAGAAAAGCATGACTTAAATATTAGTAAAATACCTTCCAGGGGCCAGGTGACTTCTCATCATAGAAGTGTCTCTAAAGTCTGTTAACCACTAAAGTTTTCCAAAAAGGAAGTCAACAAATGTTTGTTAAATAAGTGAATGAGTTCATGCATTCTTTCACTTATGTACAAATAGAAACCAAGTATGTTTAGCTACAGGTTTTAAAGAAAACTTAAATTTTTTGTTTTGGTAGACTGCATGAGCCCCTTCAGTAAAGCATCCATTTAAAAATGTACTTTTATAAGGCTCAGAAAGATCCCAGCCCATAGTAGGTGCTCAATCGATGACGTTGAAAGAAGGAGTGATTGATTGAACCTGACATTCAAGACAAGAAGAACAGAGTGCTTCCAGCCAAATAACCATTTCCTTGTCAGTGTAAACCTCTGACAACCTCGTCTCCCTGCAGCTCCTGCAGTGAGACCCACCAGCCATGCACAATGCAGGCGTTTCAACGGGTCACTGATTGGAGATGAGGTTGTTTCCTCGGCACCTCAGGCATCCCAAAGCTGCCTCCTATGTGGGTCACCTACATGGTGATGGCAGGATGTGCTGCCAACCAAATCACTCAGTTCTTTCAAGTGAAGTTGCCTGCTAGCTACCCAGCTGATGTCTCACTAACAGGGGGAAATGAGATGTCACAAGGCCAGCTCTGTAAATTAAGTGATAATCCAGTTTTGTTCGTATTCAAAAAGCAATTGATCGTTCATTCTAGGTGAATTCTGAGGCTCCTTTCCAATGTGTCCAGGCTTCCTTTCATGTTTATGTTGACTGCACCATTTCACCCTTCACTGCAGGCTCCTGGCCCCAGACGACAGTCAGTAAGGAGTGAGACAGGAGTCATCAGGTAAAATGAAGTTCCTGCTTTATCTTGAATTGAATCAATTCCTGCTCTCCCATTGCCACAACTAATTAAGGGCTAAGTGTACTGGAGACAAATAAGTATCACGGAAACTGCTCCTTTTTCTCCTAAAGAAATACAAACATGGTGGCACTGGGTTCAGCTTGGCTCTCACCCAACAGGAGGGAGGGGTCTATGTGAAAGGACGACCTTTGACAAGGAGACTTTCTGCTTCGGTACCTTGTGAAATAGTTTCCTGAAAACAAGAGTCTACTGCCCAGCCTCCCACTAATGTGATTAGAGGAGCTAATTTCCTGGGTTGGTTTCCCGCCCATTTCACCCATCAGAGCTGGGTTGTTACAAAGGCCCACTCTCCTGGAAATTGCTCCCTCACCAAAACATGTGGAAAGAGGATGGCTTGGCTGACCTTTAAAAACGTCAGAGGGATCAGGATGAAGACTGCTTAGCAACGGAGCAGCTGTCACTGGACTTGAGTAAGGCTCAACTGTGGGTTTTTAAACCTTAAGAGAATTTACTGCACCTTCCTTCAAGCCAAGAGTAAACATTTACACATGCCAGATCTGATGACATCATGCTCTTCCCAACTTAAGAAACCACTGCAAGGTTCAAAGGCTCTGAGGTCTCGATTTTCACACCCAGTGAACTGTGACTTGCCATCTACTCTTGCACACTTTTCAGGTACATCCAGAGAGACTTTTGCTAACAGGTGACTTTATCATAACATTCCATTAAAGAGCCATGGCTGCCTCAGACTTCCTGTCTCAGATGACAAATCTTTAATTTTGCTTTCACTCTTTACAAGAAGATTAAGAAACCTCCAGTGAGTAATAAAAGTTTATCGGGAGGGCCTCCTCAATTCAGGCGCCTGCCCTGGTTGATGAAGTTGAATTGAACTCAGGCCACTGCTTGGAAGATTATTTTTCCAAGAAGGAGAGAATAAAGGGAGAATCCTTCTCCCTTTCAAGGAGAAGAAAGGAGTAGGTCAGCATGGCTTTCAGCTCTCAGGAAATTAATTTATAAAGGACGGTGCAAGCAAAGCTGCTGGATTTAATTAGGAAGTAGTAAGGCCACCGCAGTCACATGTTCAAATTTATGATCCAGTGCATGAAGGAAAATGCTTGACCCATTTTGCACAGGGGTAGAATGAGAAATGTGAGATTGCCAAAAAACAATTTCAAATGTGTCCCCAAGAACTTCGTTAGCTCTCTTATAAAGTCACCACTCATTTATTGGGTTGTCGGAAAAGTCATGATGTATTTTTTTCTGTTTTTCATTGCAAAAATGCATCATGACTTTTCCGATAACCCAATAGGTATTTAGGATGTGGAAAGCTCATTCAGCCACTGAGTAACTGATTCTAAGTAAGGCTTTATGGTCTTTAAAAGAAGGGATGATTCTGTCTATTTCCATAATAATCCCGTCTTCTATTAAGCACATAGTAGGTACTCAGTAAAGACAGCATAAGCAATAGTTGTTCAACAATTCAGCAATCTTGTACTTAGCATCATGTGTAGGCTTTATATCAGGAGGTAAAGATAAAAAGACACAGCATCTGACCTTAAAACACTAGTGGTCATATGGATAAATAAGAAACAAGTTGCCTCATCTCAGTCATGGTAACTTCACCCTTTCAGTTGCTCAGGTTAAAACCTTGGAGTCACCCTCTCTTTCTCTCACACACCATATTCAATCCATGAACAAACTATGATGCCTCCGCCTTCAAAAGATATTCAGAAATTTTACCACGTACCACACCTCCATTGCTACTACTTGGGGCCAAATCACCAGTATCTCTCTCATGGATTATTGCAAAAAGTTCCTAACTAGTCTTCCCGCTCTACCTTATACCCTTTCCCACCATCTATTCTCAGTATAACAGCCAGAGTGCTCCTTTGAAAATAGAAATAGGACTATACATTATTTCTCGGTTCAAAACCTCTAGTAGCTCCTCATGTCTCTCAGAGTATAATTCTTTCAATAGTTAGATGACCCTTTATGATCTGCTCCTGATACCCATTTAACCTCATCTAGGAGTTTGTGCTTATTCAGCTGCAGCCATGCTGGCCTCCCTCTGTTCTTGGAACAATGCAGGCATACTACTCCTTCAAGGGTTTTGCACTGGCTGTTCTTCTGCCTAGGATGATCTTCCCCCAGGTATCTTGTTATCTCTTGCTACATTTCAGACATTCACTTCAGTTCCACTATTGCCACCCCAGCCTCAGTATTCCAACAGCCCTTTTCTAACAGTATAGAGTTTGCTTATCCATTAAGTTATTGTTTATCTACTCCCACTAAATAGTAAGCTCCAAGAAAACAGAGATTCCTATTTTTTAATTTTTTGTTCTGTTTTGTTCACAGTGCCTGGCACATAGTAAATAAATGACTGATTGAATGATGATACACTGCAGAAAAAGCTATAAGGGAGTGATGTATAAATATTTTACTTTGTTAGCATGTCTGACTGAAGGATCACTGTCTATCTTATGAAGGATTTCATGCAGACATTCCTCAATATTGATACAGATTCTATTTTGACTCAACTAATACTTATTTATTAGCTCAATATGTCCAAATGTTTGGGGTAAGCCAAAGGTTGTACTCAGGTGGATAAATAGAGTTTCAGTCTGGACAGTATAAGAAACAAAGTACATTAGTACATTCATGTCCTTTAAAAACTGACTGCCTAGCAAGGCTGTCCCGACTGTCTCCAGACCTGGGTGCAAGCCATGCTGCTCTGCGCGGCTAGGAGGAGTCTGGTTGGGCAGAGCGACCACCTAAATCCCTTCCATCATGATTCCACTCCCCATGTCCTCCTTTTAATTAAAAATCGTTGAGCAAACTTCTTAATCTCTTACTGCAGTTTACGGAATGATACATTGAAGTGGGACTGGGATGAGCAAGCTGTTGAAAGTGAACAGGGTTGTTGGTGTGTTGTGGTTTAAATGTGAGGAATAGACATGAATTAATCCTGTGCCTGAGCATGGTGAGAGTAAGATGAAGAACCTATACAGTAAAGAGGTGGGCCCTTCTATGATGACAGAGGAACATATCGTCACTGTAGAACTCTTTGGAATCATCAGGCACAATGAAATATTGAGTAAGTCCACCAGTGGTCTGCTACTGGTTAGAGTTGATAATGTAAAAATTAAGCCAAGTAATACCTCTCATAAAACATTTGCAAGCGTGTTATCCACAGGACAGATTTTCAAAAAAAAAAAGAAAAAGAAGACTCAAAGAGTAATGATTTATGCTAAACTTACAAGGCAAGTACTTTCAAAATTTGATTTAGGGCCTTTCTATTTTCTAAGATGCAGAGTAAATCCCTCAATATTGACAAGTACAACCACATGACTCTTACATCGATACTCTGACGGTGTACATACCAGGGAGAAATAAAATAATAAATTTCAAGATCAACATCTTTTATAAAAATACATGACATCTGAAAGCTCTTTGTGTGCAACAGGGAAAAGGAAGTAGTTAGTATGAGAGAACCAGAATTCCTGCAAATGGCAAGGGGTGCCCATCTCACCTAAGTAGTTATCATCCTCTGATTTCCCTGAGAAACTGTGCTGCCGCACGTCGATACTAGTAGCACCAGCTGGAATTCGGACGACGGTATTGTAACCTGAAAAGAATTTGGTAGAAATTCAGTATTCTGTAGCATGGTTCACTTTCTCTAAGCATGGAGTAAAATGTGAGCACCAAAGGAACATAATATAACTCTCACTATTAGAAGCCTTATAGCCGGATGGGTAATGTACCTTAACAAGACTGATTTTATGCTTGACATTAATACTTTTTACATGTTACACATGGTGAACAATTTTTAAACTTTGACCATTTTCCTCCTTACGGTTCTCAGGAACAGATTCTTACCATAATGCACTGTATTAAATGTTCCCGCCACTGTTTTGCACGAAGAATTATCACCACCACAAACCCCACATTTATCTCTCCGGGCTTTGGAGTTTAAAACATGATCGCATCCAGCTTGCTTTTAAAAAGAAAACATTTGAAATAAATGGTAAGTATTACAGAGATTATAAAATGGCAAGTCATGTGTTTCTTTGCATGATGTGCATTCCAAATGACAAGAAAGTTAAACTTGCCCATGTTGAGAACTCAAAGTTGCTGTGGAAAATAAGGTCCTTGGACCAGCAGCCCTGGGCATCTGGTGCTGTCAGAAAGGCAGATTCTCGAGCCCTACCCAGGTCTACTGAGTCAGAGTACGTTTTCTGGCATGTTAACACGCTTCTTAGGTGCTGCGTCTACAAACTAAAGTTTGAGAAGCACTAGTCTACAAAAAGGTGGAGGCCATGAAAAAAATCTTTCAGGATTAGAAAAAAGGAGCCGTGAGGACTGTATCCAGTTAAAGAATTTACGTCCCATCTTGAGGGAGCAGCCACTGTCCACTCCAGGCTACTGCTGCCATGTGGAAACAGGAGCCCAAAGTTGACATTTCCCATTTTTTCAAGAGAAGCTGGAAACTTTGATTTTATGTGAAATCCCCTATGTTCAAACAATGGCTGTGGATGGAGGACAGAGCATGGCTGCAGATCACCAGTGTGAGGCCGTGGGCTCCAAAAGGCCTCCTGAACTTCTTCCCATCTTAATGCAATGCAGCAATGTAGGCTGAGGGCTGAGAAGGACTCCAGCACCCACCTGAAGCCCAGGAGGACAGAGTTCACATTCTCTTCCATTCTGCGCCTTTGTATGAACTCGTCTTTCAAGAGAAACTCAATGTGTTGCTATAAAATGGACTGACAAAGACATCTGCACGGTCAGCTGTGAGCTGGGAGGTGGGTGGAGCTCTTAGGGGCTCTTTCAATCAAATCCTACCTATTAGAAATGCCAACTTGCTTTGGACCACATGCAAGGCACAAATGTACCACCTCATAGCCGTACTGTGTTAGGAACAATTACTGACTGGTGAGAACAGTGACTGAGAAATCACTGCTCTGATGCTTTACCATCAGCCAGAAGTTTTTTGAATTTCCTTCTAAGATTAAATGACAGGTATGTCTCAGGTAGACGCTATCCTGCTTACAACCAGAAAGGCAATTCTGAGTGAGGCCAGTTCTCCCTCACAACATCTTTCTGGACCAGAGCTATTCGATTTAGAAATTTCTGTCAAGAAACAGCTGGGTTAAACCTTAAGCCCTGAGGTTATAGTAAAGGAGTGTGTGTATGTGAAAATTATAAAAAACTCTGCATGGACAGATTTTTTGCAGACACCCCCAGGGAGGCTGAGAACATCGAGAAAAATCCAGGGCAGTGCTTCTCAAAGTTTGGCTTGCATCACCATTAGGTGATGCTGAAGCTGCTGTGGGGACCCCACTTTGAGAACCAGTGCCCTCGAGACAGTGCACAGACGTCAGGAGCTGCTACTCTGTCAAGAAAGCCACAAACCACAGCTTGGCCACAGGACAACACGGTGACAGAAGCAGCATCTGGGGCTTACCCGGCAGAGGCCTTGGACGCAGATATCGCTGGTGTCCTGGCCACACGGCGTCCCGTCCACCACTCTGTCCCGGAGCTGATAGTAGGCCGTGCTCCCCACCACCCTGCAGAATAACTTGCACCGGTCCTTCATCAGAACTGGAGAAGAGAAACACCGTGCAGTGTGACTTGTGTGCCCAAACCCCACCCAGCCTGGCACAGCGGGCACCGCCCCTGGACACACTTACTTCCACTGTACTTGGGGACCCAGCGCACATTTGGCAGCAGACCATTGATGTTAAAATGCTTTCCATCAAACTGAGCACACTGTTCCTCTCGGAAGTCTCGCTTCTGCTTGAGACAGGGCTCTGTGTTGCAGGACTTAAATTTCATTCTACGCCCTACACAGTACTTTCCACCATTTTTGGGCCTGAGAAAAGATAAAGAACACACACACTGTATTATAATGTATTTCTTCCCACATCACTCTCATCTGTGGCTTCCTGTCATCTAGGGAAGCAAATCTGAAGTGGCCAGTGACAGAGAACAGGGCAAGGGCTCTGAAAGCTGGATTTGCATTCTGCCCTCAACACCATTAAGTGTATAACTTAAGCTCCTTGAGCCTCAGTCCTTCCCATCTATAAAATGGGAAGGTGCTATTTGGTAAGGCTGTTTTGAGAATAAAAATCTAGAGCGTGTAACTTAAAGTATGAAATACAAAGCCTGGAATCTATTAGGACATTTTCTTTCCACTTTTCCCCAAATGTTCATAGCCCTTTGATTTTAAAAATACAGAAGGTGAAAGGTACAGATGAGCAGTTAGAATGTTCCGTCTGCATTTCCTACCATGATATTCTCATGAGAAACCATCCTAAGCCTTTGCCATTTTACTTCCATTCATTCTCTCCTCCTCCTTCTTCCCCTCTATAACCACTGTTTTTGTTTGTTTTATTTTACGAATAAGACCGAATAAAGGAAATATGCCTGTATTTTGAATAACTTAGTAAGAGAAGCAGGAGAAAGCGTACTGGTTTCATTAACTTTGTGTGACAAGAATATGGAGCACGCCTTGCAAAGCATCACAGGGCAAATTTAATCTCTGCATGCAACCCGTACATGCATTTTCCAGATGTGACCCAGAAAGTAAATTACACAACACATCTCCCAGCAGTCAACAGCTTGCCAAATTCATCATGGAAGCTGGAAGATCGTGGAATTATAGGAAGTCTGGCTCACCCACCCAGGGTGGGAGCGGCTCAGATTCCACTGCTGTTGTAGGACACCTCTCAGACCTTTCCACCTTTCCTTTTCAGAATGAATCTTTCAGAGTAATCTGGACCATAAGGGGTGTTATACCAGGCTTTGGAGGAATGGGAAATGTATCCAAGCCCATACAATGCTGAACGAGAGGCAGCCTAGCAGAGCAGGTGAGAGTTGGATCTGTGTTCCAATCTTGGCCTGTCCTCACTGTGTGACCTTAGACAAAGTTCTTAGCCTCCATGTTCTTCAGTTTTCTCCTTCTCTAAAATGAGTGCACACCACAGATGCCTGAAGTGTCACCTACGATGATATTATATTATACGTGAGTGCTCCCAATCTAACCTGATCCAGTTCAGCAGTCTGTTTCTTTTGGGAACCAAATCTGAGCTGCAGCATGGTCTGCACTGAGAAATGACTCAGTGCTCCTGCATAATACCCAAGTCTCAGGAAGGGCCACGTGGCTGTGAGACTGTCCTAAATGTGTTCCCTAGATCACAGAGTTACGGAGTAAGGTAAGAGCATAGGCTGTGTAGTTACAAGCGGGCACCTCTGTGTAAGCTCCTGGCCTCTCTGAGCTCTGTCCTGCACATGTAAAGCAGAGATGACACTGTACTCCTGAAAGGCTTGTTATGAATCTGAGGAGCTTAGCAAGACTCTGGTAAATATTTACTGTTATTTATTATGAGGAAGACTACATCTAGGGATGGCACATAAACCGAGCAGTATCTATATCCGATTGTTTCTCCATTAAATACAATTAAGCCCATAAGCTTTATATTGGGTTGTCAGAAAATTAATGATGTATTTTTTTTATGTTTTTTGTTGCAAAATGCATCATGACTTTTCCACAACCCAATATATCGTGTATTTGACTAGCCACAACTCACTCGTTTTCTGCCACCTGAGAGAAAGGCAGACGTACTTTTATACCAAGCAGCAGGAGGTTCAGAGAAGTTAAGTACTTTGCCCAAGGTCACATAGCTAATAAAAAAGCAGAGACAGGATTGGGATTCAAGCTTCCCAGGTTCTTTCTGTTACATTATCCAAGAGCTACGGTCCAGAATCTTTTATTTTTCTTTTTTGATGCCATTTTTCCTGGTTTCCTGGATAGCCTTGGTTTCCTGGATAGCAAGCTCTTCTCTCTGTACCAACACACCCCAGTCTCATGTATAAAATATCAGGTTATATACGAATAATAGATTCAGGTGATACTTGTATTAAATAATGTGCTACAAGGAAGACCCCCTTCAATTTTTCCTCAAATTGAAATGATCTTTGTGAATCTTTTTAAATGTCCCAACTAACTGTGGTGGATTGGTAATTTATTTGTCACCTGAAAGCAATTCATATTTCTTTCTCTTTGAAAATAAAAGTTTTTAGAAGTTGTTTTTTAAAAGTCGTCACTGGGCTGCAGATAGTTTATACTTCTAGGTGGCTTCCCTTCAGATGAGAACACTTTTTACCTTTGCTTGTGCTGACCACTATCAAATGGCAAATAGCACTTAGTGATTTTATAAAGTACATTTTTTTATAAACAACACGTAGAACATACTCTATGTAAGAGGCTGTATTACTGAGGGTTATAGAGATGGATCCTGGAAACGATTTGAATCCCAGCCCTGCCACTGAATAACAGTGCAATCTTAGGCAAGTTGCTTCATATAAGTTTTTCCCTGTCTGTAAAGGGAGGTGATGCTAATGTCTACTTCACAGGGCTGAGTAAGGGTTAACTGGGTTAACATTGTCAAAGCACTTGAACAAGGTCTGCCTCACAGTAAATGTTTAGCTATTATAAGGGTCTACAAACTATAGCCCATGGCCCAAAATCTGGACTACTGCCTGCTTGCACATGACTGGTGAGAAGAGAATGTTTTTTACATTTTGAAAAAATTAAAATTGTTTGAGATTCATAAGCATTATATGAAATTCAAATTTCAGTGGTCATAAATAAAATTTTATTAGAACACAGCCACACCACTCTTTACATATTGTTCATGTATGTTTCTTACTTTATCAGTAAGTTTGAATAGTTGGGACAGAGATCCTATGATCCTCAAAGTCTAAAATAGTCATGAAATATCTGATTGAAAAAGTATTCCTTTACGGGCAAGTTGGCTGACCCCTGAGCTATTTTTGTGACTGTGCACAGCCATGCAATGAGGTAGGCAGTGGCATCCCTGTTTCTGAACCTTTGTTTGAAGTGGGCTCAGGACTGTTAAGTAATCTGGCAAGGTCCCATGCCAATGAAGTGAGATGCACTGATGGAGGCACCAACCCAGGTCTCCCTGACCCTCAGCTCCTGATCTGGCCTCTCCCCGTGCTGCCTCTCTTGAAACAGAACTCTTTCAATATCAAAACTCATTATATGACCTTATTTGCTTTTTATATAAAGGCAGATCATATTTGATTAATAAATACAAATTCACCCTTTCGAAATATATGGCTTTTCTTATATTCTAGACAATGCAATCTCTGCCTGATTTGCATGTACTGTGTAATGAGGAACGCTTTAGCCAACTTAACTTACCATCATTTCAGCATGGAAGAAATTCATTTTATAATTAGTAATTTGGCTGGGTAGGCGTATATTTCCCATGTAGGAAAATAATGAAAATTATAGGAAATGTAACTTTAAAAAATGCTAACCACATTTTCCTATTATTAAGATTCTTTAAAAATATTGCATGTCCAATAGGGATAGAAAGGACTTAAGGAAATTGCTAGATTAATTACTATGAAAGTAACTATATGCAGCATAGCCAAGCTGAATCTTTCTTTTGAGCACATCTTACATAACCATTTCCTTTCATACATACAAATGTGCCACGCTGCATGGCCAAAGATGAAAGGATTTTTGCAAAGATCATCACAGGTTCATTCTACCCTCAAGGAAAGTTAACCTTTAGTCTGCAAATATATTTGAACAGAAATCTCAACTTCTAGGTTTACCTACAGTGAGTTAGAGCAGGTGGTTTGAGGTCAGCACGAGGCAGAAATTTCTAATGATACCACAGGCAGCTCCAGAGGAGCTTTATTTCCTAAGCTTGGAGGGTTTTAAGAGGGGGCCTACTGGCCAACTGCAGAGGATGCTGAAAGGCATTAGGCATTCAAGGATTAGATGCGATGGGCCATGGAGTGGAACTAGCAACCATTAGTGATCCTGCCAAATAGGGCAATCTATGGGATTAGATATTAATTCATTAGTTAACAGCTTCCCCAGTAGCCAATTCTTGACATTCTGAAATAAATTGATCTAACTCAGTGCCTCAAAAAAAAAAACTGCTGCAATTCTTGACAGCCAAATGAGAGATTGGTTTTCTTAGTTGGAACACTCATATGTCTACTCTCTTTTATGTAAGGTTTCAGAAGCAGCTGCTATGGTGAAAACCTAAATGGGAAATATTCAGTTCACAATCTTGACTTTTTCTCAAATCTATGAGTTTATTATTATTTTAAAATGTAACCTACCTCCTAACGTAAAAGAAAAATAGAAGCACTAGAAGAGGGAAATACTTTGCCTTTCCTAATCAACTGGCTTGGTTTGTTTTTTTTTTTTTGATGGACTCTTAACAATTCTATAAACGATTTTGTTCCAGTCACCAGGAAGCACAAGGCCAAACTTAGGTCACAAAATAACAAGAACAGGGCCCAATGGCCTGAACATGCATCTTCTAGTTCCAAAGCTGGTCCTGTGGCACTCTAAATTATGATTTGCTGGTTCCAATTTAAAATTTTACTCTATTACATATTTCTTACAGATCAGGTGACCATGTAATTAATTGTCCAATCCAGGAAACTTTGAGAATGGATAGGGGAGCTATTAAACTTCTCCAGGATAACAGATGTAAACTGGGATTGTCTTTACAAACCAGAACATATGCTCACCTTATCTGTTGGGCATGGGTGGAAAGTGGGATTTAAAATAATAAATAAAGCATTTAAAGACAACATATTAGGGCCCCATTCTTAAGCTGGCAAACCTGTAGCATTGTGTACCGAGACCAAAATTTTTTTTGACCAAAATTGGAAAGCATATGGTTTGTACAGCTAGCTCACTGGCTATGGTGTAAACCCATGTACATGGTAAGGCTACTTCTCTTTTTTTAGCAATTATGCTTTCAAGGAAGAAAACCTAAAAATATAGCAAAAAGTATCTGGATGTTACATAAATACATGCTTGAATCACATGAATACTGTGAAAAAGTAAAAACAATCCAGTGTTCTTACCTTGGATTCTAAAACTGGAGCTGTTCATTAACGCTAAGGGCTTCTCACACTGAGAAAAGGCATGTTGCCAGTGAGAGGGGGACTGCTCCCCTCAAACTCTTTAAGAATCAGAACAGCACCCACTTCCACATTCTACATAATGAACCATCTGCTCTGTGAATTTCGCTGAACAAGCTTTTAAGCTGAGATTTGGATCTAACTTTTCCTGTGCTGTATCCCTTTCTCTTGTCAAGTGACTTCCTCAGTGCCACTGTGACCCTGGTTTTCAGAGGCAGAGCCTTCCTCAATTCACAGGGGCATCCTGAACTGCAAATGACTTGGAGGAGTTTTAATGAAATGATGTCAGTGCAGGCACTCCACTAGGTGGATTGTATTATTTTAAAACCTCCCACTGCAAACAGCAGTGACAAGGACCTTTAATTGAGAACTCTAATGATTGGTTCCTAACTTCTGAATGTGAGGATCTTCAATTCACTTCACTTTGAAGCTCAAGATCCTTTCCCGCTGAGATCCTTACATGGGGTGATTTTCTTTGTCTGGCTCATTCCAATTACGGAGTGATTTATCTCTCTCCGCTTTCCACATTACTTCTAGAATTGCTCTAAGACTTTAAAAGAAAAGACCAAACACTTCTTTTGAACGGAATAGTCTTCAGTCAAATTTCAAAAGCGCCAACTATTTGCACTATCCATACCATCATGATAACACAGCTTACTATGATAATAATCCTTTGGCTCAGTGTAACCACCCAATAGTTTTTAATTAAAAAACAAATTCATCATATTTGCTGTTAGCTTAAAATGTTCTATTTTAAAGCTTGAGCAATACAAATAGCTAGGCTATATAACTGACTTTCAAAAGCAAGTTGCAGAACACATCGTGTGGTCCTTATTTTGTATGATACTAATTTCATATAATACATATTACATCTATAATCTTCTTAAAGTCCAAAAGAATACACATCAAATTGTTTTTTCTTGTTCTTTCTTATGAGGAGTAACAGGAGGTTAGAAATAACGATAGGAATTTTTTATATCATATACTTTTGTGTTTTAATTTTTAAAGCACGTACTATATTTATACTATTATTTCAAAAATGAATACTAAATTTAGACTCTATGGAAAATCTAGTGTTTATTAGCTTATATACATAGCTACGGTGTTAGTTTTATGAACCAGAGTTATCTTATGGCTCTTTAGGTGTCTTCTATAGAGACTAATAACATGTGGACATGAATTAAATGTTGGAATGTGAACAAAAACATTAAAATAAATTGATCATCATCTGTGATTTGTACTATGGAGTACTTATTTAAATCAGGGCTTGCAACAGTGGCTTACAGCTCTGTTTTGGGTTTTTGTTTTTTTTTGATTCACACAACTCAGGTTATTCTTACAAACATTTGGAAGCTTTGTCAATACTAGACCCTTTTCCTACTTGTGAGAAGTCAGTTAAGTCAGCACCCTGCACGTGGTCTTCACTGCTCTGCATACAACCTGATTTTCTTGTACCAGCCCAGTCACTACTGTACCTGTTTGCTTCTCTTTACAATCAGTCTGCTATCCTTAACGTAGCTATTCAACATAAATGAGTACTGCTAGGAGAAACTGCTTTCTAAAATCCCAAAGCAGCTGGGTCTCAAAAGTGGTTGTTAGTTTATAAATCTAAAAACTATCTCTACTCGGTGAAGAGTTCTTGGGGTTCAGTGGCAATGATATCATGTATTATTTTCAATTCTTTTAAACTTTATACATCTTATACCCACCATAATTAGATGTCTTTCCTCATAGTGAAGATAGCAGGTTTTAAAACCTAGTTGTAAACAGCCTCCCCAGCAAACACACGTCTACTGTGCTAGATGCTGGGGAAAAACCCCATTGACTTTATTTGAACATTGCAGTCCTAAAAAAGGTAAGGTTGGTCAGATAGTGAGAATTATCCTGAAGAGCAGGACACACCCAATCTACAAACTGTCAGGTTGTGGGATAGGGACCCCAGGAGTTTCACATGTAAAACAGCTAGATTGATGCCCAAAGTAATTCCTGACTTGGGGTTCCATGTCCCTTGGGATCTGCTAATGCTGCTTTTCAGCATTTCAGGAGCTAACTGGAAAGGGTGCATTGATCTACAATCCGGATGAAAATGTCCAATTTCTTTGTCTCCTCATGAAAAATTTATCTGTTTACTTTAATTAGCATGCGGTCCTAAGCTCTGGGGGCAGTGAGTGGGGGCCTGACTGTCAAAACAGTTAAACAGGCCAATCAACACAAAAACATCAACTTTTTGGTAGACAACGCTTTTAATAATAAAGGTAGGGAGAAAAACAGTAGCACAGAGGGGAAGTGCCCAGGGATAGATCTTGGATACCCTGGATCTAGGCAGCCCTGGAAGTCCACCCACTCTCTTAATTTGGAGGGAGCACTTCATCTGCCTCTAGGTAACGATTCCTTTTGGGCATTTTTCACTCCTGCTATCCCCATAGCAATAGTGATGAGTTAGGACTTACTCTGGCCTGTTGCACTCTCGAACAGCTGTCTTGATGCCCCCACCACATGTTCTTGAGCAGGTTCCGAAGTGAGTCCAGCTGCCCCAGGATCCGTCAGTCACAGGGACCTCCATTTCTTTGGGAACACAAAATCCAAACTTGCAGTGCTGTATTTAATAAGGGAACAATGAGGGAGAGCTCGGTGCCTGAGACATCGTAGGACCCACTGTCCTTTAATACACCACACTCTAACTGTTCTCCTTGTGCTAGGGTGAAACACTGCCATTTCACCATTATGTGGATAACTGAAACTGTAGGGGTTTTCGTCTTCTACTTATTGGGTTTAGCCTGTCTTCATTTATAGTTCATGTGATTAAAACTGGCCAATGAGTGATTAGCTCCAAGCTGTTGGGGTACCTTCAATGGCTGGCTTCTTCGAGGTGCTCAATTAGTCTGCTTGGAGAAACAGGGAGTGGAAGTGGGCAGACTGGCTGCAGACAGGGCCACAAGTTACTGGATTTGCATAGCAAATCTCCATTAACAAGGCCCTGAGATATTGTGAGTCTGTTAAAATATAATGCCTTATTACTTCCCATGGATTTGAAAACCCAATTTTAATTAAACGGGAAAGAAAAAAAGCTAGTGACATGATTCCCATAAACTCGCATACAGGATGACACTAAAGCAAAATGGACACATTACAGAGAGCCCTAAATTTTATTGCTTTTTTGTTACTAATGGTTTCACATTCTCCAGCCTGGAGCAGGAAGGCTATGATGTTTAAAACAAAACAAAAAATAAAAGTCCTCAGCAGGACAAGGGAGTCCAAAAGCCCATTTCAACTCTCTGCCATTGTTGGGGTGTGAGGCCCTGACACAAAGCTGAGGTCACTGAGCAGTGGACAAAGGAAGAGTGGCAGCAGTGGTGGCAGGAGGGTGACGCCCCGCGGCTCACTCAGATCTCTGAAGCAGAGCTAGTGGCTCTGGCATGATTTATCCGCAGGGAGGACACAGGCGTGTAGGAAGAGGCAGAGGGCCACCAAGGCCAGGGGGTGGGGGACATTCAGGCGAAGTGGACAAATAAGAGGCCGATGAAGGTTCCAGTCGTAACGACCAGCCCCACGAAAGCTTGGTGAACAAGTATTTAAAAAATGCAGTTAAGCTTTCTCTACTCTGTTGCGCCTTCTCCCTTATATTGGGTTGTCGGAAAAGTCATGACGCATTTTTGCAATGAAAAACAGAAAAAAATGTCATGGCTTTTCCAACAACCCAATAATTATCCTCTTAGAGAATCTGAGGACACGTCCTTTTCTCTGGGCTATTTGGCTGAGGCTTAAAAGGTTCTGCACCCAAAGAATCTTGGGCAACTTCATATCCAAGAAATGTGGGCAGAGGTGGAGGTGACCACACCACTCCCTGAAATCACTTTATATTTGTCTCTACAGCATTCTTGAACATTTCTTGGAATGTACGCACATAAAAATAAATGAGAAAAGCAGCTTGGTGTAAAGAACCACTATCCAATAAGAATGTAACTTTAAACAAATTTAAAAATTTCTAGAAGCCACATTAAAACAAATAAAAAGAAAAATGAAATTAATTTTAATACCTGTTATTTAGCTCAAATTATCTGAAGCATTATTTCTATATGTAATCGACATAAAATTGTGAGGTTTTTTTATACTCCCTTTTTATACTAAGTCTGCAACACCTGCTGGTGTGATTTCACCTAAGCACATTTCAGTTCAGACTGACATTTAAAGGGCTCGTTAGCCACGTGTGGCTAACGGCTGCTATATATACAGTGTGGGGACTAAGCTTAGGAGGCGAAATTCTAGTTTCCACAAACTAACTCTGTGACCTGGAGCAAGTCACTGAACTCAGCTTCCACAGATGAAAAATGAAGACCTATCTGCCAAAGTTGTCTTGAGTATAACATGAGACAGCATATCCAAAACACCTAGTACCAGCTGAGAATTTAGGGGACCAGACTTATAGCTATTATTATAGTAATAATGGGAGACATTTACACAGCATTTCATATTTGTCAGGCACTGTTCTAAGCAATCTATCTATCTATCTATCTATCTATCTATCTATCTATCCATCCATCCAGCCACTCATCTATCTCACACTATGAAGTCGGTACTGTTATTACCCCCACTTCCACAGAAAAGAAAATGGAGGCACAGACGGCTGCTGCCAAGCCTCAGTAAGGGGCAGGGCTGAATCACAGGTAATCTGACTCAAGGGCACACTCTTACATGTTACACATGCTGCCTCTCAATTGTGCATGAGAACAATTTTTGACATCTAAATAAAGACTGAAATTTAAAACAAAAGCAAACTAATGAAATGGTTAGGTAAGGCTAAGACTCTAAGGTGTCCACCGAATATTCATCCTCCCTTTTATCCTTGGTAACAGAATCGATATTTCCCTAGATTCTTGTACAGATAAAAGTAGTCAAAGAAATGTCAGCAGGATTCTTTGGGTAAGATTCCTGGGAAAGTTCTTCTGCTTCTTTGTTACTTGCCCTTTGGCCTCCTTCTGCCTGGAACTCAGACTTGATGGCTGGAGCTACAGCAGTCATTTTGTGAGTTGAGTATGAAGACCATTTGCATATGATAGTGGAGCAGAAAGAAATTAGAAGCCTGAGTCTCTGATGATTTTGTGGAGCTGCCACTACAGCTCCATAACCTGTCTAACTCTGGACTAGTTTTCTGTGTCAGAAAAAGGAGCCAATTTGCTTACACTACTATAATTTGCTCTGATCTGAACAAAATTTCTAATTAATATATAAAGGAAGCCTTAGCGAGGCCCAAATTCATCCTGCAAGTCCTGGTGCCAGACACATATTTTATAAATTCTACAAAGTAAGGAGAAAATTCCTATGACTATTCATGGAGTTTAATAATGAGAAGTTACCTGGAAATACATTTTTTTTCCTCTTGACACTTAAGTCTTCAGTCTGTTGATCTCTCTAGTCTATAGACTCTACCTCATAAGAGCAAACTTCAAAGTGACTATAAGTCTCATACGTATTACTGTTAACTTCAGAGGAAAATGAGGACATAGATGTACCAGAGGGTGCCATTCGGCAATGCACTCAAATATCCTCATGTGGTACCTTTTTAAAAGAAAACGAATTAAAAACTGGTCTGCAAATGAAACACATCTTACTGATATGACCACTGACGTGTGTTCAAAGGAGAGGAAGAACCTTCGAAGAATAGGAGAAGTGCCTGAGGTTACAGAGGCTGAAAACCAGGGTTGTTTGGCAAATATGTACCAAGATAATCTATTTTACCAGGAAAATTCGACAAACAATAATTACATACTGGAAGAGCCATTACATCACAACGAAGCATTAAGTGGCTGATGGAGTCTGAGCCAAAATACAGTCAGCCTTTCCTAGAAGTATCCAGAACCATTTAAACGATATTGTACCTAAACGACCCCGTAGTCCCTTTTTTAAAAAGAGGCTGGAAAAGGGACTTGGGAAGCAAGTTTGTCCCAAGGAGGCTTAAAACAAAAGTTTCAAACCTCAGACTCACAAACAGGGTTAAAATGAAAATGTTAATGGACTTAACAAGAGAATGGAGAAAATAAAGAGACATTAGAGAGTCATTCATCAAAATAACATTGTGTCAGCAGTCCAAGACAGATTACTGCTGAGGGAGCAGGGTGAAAGAAAAAAGAAAAAAAGAAAATTAGCCCTTCAGCAAAAGGAGCCAGAATTTGCTAGAGAAAAGGCATATGATTTTACTGCCAATTCTATGACAACAAAATGAAAAAACACAAAGAATTTCCATGCTGACATAGGTCTAACAATTGAGTTCATGAACTCATCCTAGAAAAAGTGCTACATACCTCATTGCTGAATATCACTACGGTCACCTTCGAAGTACTCCCCTTGGGAAGCTATGCATTGATGCCAGTGCCTAGTCCACCTTTCAAAGCAATTTTGGAACTCTTTTTCTGGAATGGCCACAATAACTGTCATCATATTACCCTTGATGTCCTGAATGTCATCAAAATGTCTTCCTTTCAATATTTCCAAGAAAGAAGTCATTGGGGGCCAGATCAGGTGAGTAGGGAGGGTGTTCCAATAGTTATTCGTTTACTGCCTAAAAACTACCTTATAGACAGTGCCGTGTGAGCTGGTGCATTGTCGTGATGCAAAGAGCCATGAATTGTCAGCGAAAAGTCAACTTGTCTAACTTTCTCACGCAGCCTTTCAGCGCTTCCAAATAATAAACCTGATTAACTGTTTGTCCAGTTGGTACAAATTCATAATGAATAATCCCTCTGCTATCAAGAGGTTAGCAACATCGTTGCAACAAGTTCATGAACTTAATTGTCAGACCTCCGTATCTACTATTTTTGGCATTTATAAAATGCATAAATACTCTTCAGGGGAATAAAAACACATATAATCCTGGGCCTGCCGAGTGGCGCGATGGTTAAGAACTGGCTTGGGATGCCAGAGGGCCCCGGGTTGGATCCCACATGAGGGCCAGTGACACTGCCCTCTACAACTAAGATGCTGAACAGCAGCTCAACCTGGAGCTAGGCTGCAGTGAGTCGCCGGTGACGGCGTAGGCTGCAGCCCCTGTGGCAGTTTTAGCCAGCGGCCAGCAGCTGCAGTGAGCGGCCATCCAGAAACCGGCGACTGACCTGCCTCACCCAGGAAGAGCGCAATGATGGTGCCAACTTGGGCCAGTGAAGCAACGTCCTCCACAACTAGACTAAAGAACAAAACGATAGCAACTTGTCTGTTCCCATCCCCCCAATTCCCCAATAAAGATCTTAAAAAAAAACAAACAAAAAAAACCAAAAAAAACCCCATATAATCCACATAATTAATAAATGCTGCTAGATGGCCACTTCTCTAAAACACAACTAAAAGTGTACCTGTCATTTTATCTGCAGAGTTGCTTCTCTGAAAGTGTTCTGAATATGCCCCTAAGAATGCCTTGAAGTCTTACTCTTGTTGAACACAAGCATACATTGAAAACTCTTCTGAGAGATCTCCCAAATTTCCCCATCCCTCAAGTATAAGATTACCCTGCAATACCATATCTTCAGCTTCTGTTGCAAAAATAGAAGATTAGAAAAAGACACAACAGACACCCTCCCAAGTTCTTCTGTGTTCCAGGACTGATTGGGATGCCGTACCACAACATGGCGCTTGGTAGCCTGTTCATGACAATTTTACTAAATATAATTGACTTCATCATATTACTGAGAATTCTTCTTTGTTATAGTTTTTCTGGTGATAACATGTCAGAAATAGACATATTAGGTGGGTGCATTGATCGGATTGACTAAGAACCCAGCACAATACCAGCGATTTTTCTGAGATTAAACAGTTTCAACTTAAATAATATAGTTGGCTAGCTCTAACTCAAGACAACTAAGTCATCAACTGGGTATCATGTCTACTGTCACCACCCATTGACTGGAAGCAGTTGTCTGCATCACTGTGTTTAGAAGGGCTCTGAGGCCACATCTTCATTTTATAACAGTGAGTGAATTCTTTTTTTTTTTTTTGAAGATTTTATTGGGGAATTGGGGGAGGGGAACAGCGTTGGGGAATCGGGGGAAGTGGAACAGACAAGTTGCTGTCCCTTTGTTCCTCAGTCCAGTTGTGGAGGACATTGCTTCACTGGCCCATGTTGGTACTATCATTGAGTTCTTCCCAGGTGAGGCAGATTGGTCGCCGGCCACTGGAAAGCCGCTCACGATGGCTCTTAGCAGCTCACGCTGGCTGCCAGCCGCTCACGCTGGCTGCCGCCCACTCATGGTAGCTTATGGCAGCCCACTGCAGCAGGGGCTGCAGCCTACGCGGTTGCCGGCGACTCATGGCAACCCAGCTCCAGGTCAAGCTGTTGTTCACCTTCTTAGCTGTAAAAGGTGCAGCGTCAGTCGCCCTCATTTGGGATCCGAACCGGGGCCCCGCTGCTCAGAGCCAGCGTCCCAAGCCAACTCCTAACCAATGCGCCACTTGGCTGGCCCAACAGTGAGTGAATTCTTAATGGCTGCCATGGAAACCTAAGAACCACATCACCACTCAAACCTATGGTCCTTTGGCCATCAACACATTGTGTTCAATGTCCCACAAAAAGTGAGAAAAGTGAAAGAGTCACTGGCCAAGGAGTGATATTTCTTTCTAAGCTAATGAAAGGTGCAAAGGCTATTATGCCGATGTCCATATATAGTTTTGGTCAGGTTGTTATTGCGGAAAGGTGTATACTCAATTGCTGAGGTCCTAGCCACTGAGATGTGATAACTTGAGCTGACTTAGTTACCAAAGTAAGTATAAAATCATCTTCATGCAACTTTTAATTTTTGTATTGAACTTTTTGTTTTTCAAATAATTTTCACTTCCTGTAGCTCATGTAACTAACTATATAACCACCCTGAGAAATGAGTGAAAAAACCTGCTGTTTGACCACTGGGAACTGGGGGAGCTTAGTACACTTAGTTACGGCCACTACAGTACCCTTCAACCCCTTCAGACAAAACAAAGGAGGGAGTTAGGGAGGGAAGGGGCTCAGGTATGGGGAGACTCTGCTTGAATGAACTGTGTCATCTTGGGCAAGTCGCTTCTTTTTTCTGTTCCCTGTCTATAAAATTGGGGAAAGGAGAATTAAGTTCTCTCATCTCTTTAGGACACCTTCCATAGAAGCATTCTGGGTGCTATCAGGTATAGTAGAGGAAAAAGAAGCAAGATGAGAATAAAATATTAAAAGTGAGTAAAGTACACATGGGAAGAAGGGAGAAGACAGGAAAAATACCGGGGGTGCCAAAAAAATGTATACAAATGGACACTTTGGTCAACATTGCTCAAGCAGTAGTTCACCATAATCAGAAGTGTCTGGACACTGAAGGTAACCACTTTGAGAACCTCTTGTAATTACAGGAGTCAAATAACTTGTATTCATCTTTTGTTATTGGTATATATTGACTATTAAATTGTAATACAGTTTTCCTTTCTTCAAATATGTATACATTGTTTTAGCACCCTCTGTATATGTAAGGATAACAAGAAACTCAGAATATAGTCCTGGGATTACATAATTGGTAAGTGACAAAATGCCATTTTCTGTATGGATTTAAAGAAAAAAATCAGGGTTTATATCTAAAACATTTTGTAACCAGGTTATTTGGGTGATGATGCTATCACTAGCATAGTGGCTTTCTTTTTTAAGAGGGACACCAGACGCAGAAGTTTGCATTAATCATACTCCTAGGTGCATGGGACATTATTCTCATTGGGCCGTGCAAATAGATTTTGCTTGGTTATTAACAAATAAGTGGGAACCATGATAACCAACTCAGAGTTCGGACTTGGATATACCCTAGGACTTGGATATACAATCACTCCTCAAAGGGACAAACACAAATTGGGGAAAGTAAGTAGTGAAGACAGTAAGTTTACTGTATCTCTGCATTTCTTTGATTTTGAGATGCTTTATCAACTTAATAATGGCCTTCCACTGCTACACCCAGAAGAAACAGAATGAAGAAAAAGAAAGGCTGCCTCACAGTAAATGTACCCATAAACTGAAAAGCACATTGGAATTTTCATGAGAAAAAGTATGTCCTAAAAAAGAGGCGACAGTGATAGTTATGTCTCTCATAACAATATTACACAATAATGTTATGTTTTCACAATTTTCAATAGTAAAGCCAAACCTCTTGTCTCAGAAAAGTATCATGCATGTTAAAGCACACTGCACTGACTTACATTCTCACAGCAGTGACCAGCATCCAGCTAAAATCTTTCCCAGTGTGCCCCAATACAGAAGGAGGGGCTGGGGCATTACTTGCCTTTCCAGGCTCACACTCAGTCCCATCGGCCCAGGGCGTGTGCTGAGTCCGGCAGCCTTTGTGTGCTCCATCTGCGTTATTGCACCAGAGTCGTCTACACTGCATCTGCTCATTTCAGATAAATGACAATTCAAAGACAACATGATTAGATGATACCAAACAGGCAAAGATTACTTTTAGCTCATGTTTTGCCAATGATATGGTGCAGATTAGAAAGGGATTTTATTTCTTGATATGATACATGATAAAATACTCCAAGGAATTTGGAGAGCCCAAGACACACTACTGGGCCTGGTAGAACCTAGGGTGGTGTGAAAGGGATGTCCCTGTGCCTCAAGAACACCCACGGCGTCACTGGTCCTCAGTAAGACTGCCCCATGTTACAGATAAGAACACACGGGAGCGAAGACGAAGGGCCATGCTCACTGTCACATTGGGATTGTGTCATCGGAGCTTAGGTTTGCATGAAGTCTTACTGGAGACGTTTTCTTCTAGTGGGCATATACTACCACAATCATGTGATGACTCTTTTCTAGGGTGCTTAGAGGTTTTCAGAAAAAAGAAGGCACAGAATATTGTGAAATATTTCAGGCATACACAAAGTACAAGCTAACATAATGGATAGCCCTGTAACCACCACCCAACTAAAAGAAGGCAACTGTACAAGCACAGCCGAAGGCCTGGGACACTTGTGCTCATCCCAACCCCTTCCCTTCTCCCAGAGGTGATCACTGTTCTGAGTGGTGGTCATCATTTCATCATCTCCATCGCATTTACTACAAATGTATAAATATCTACCAATAATATCCAACATGTCAACTTTAAGCAAACACCAGGATTCAGCATTTCAGGATATACTAATATCTCTTGTAACCTGCTCCCCCTCTCACCCCCCACATACACACTATTATTTTTTAGATTTACCCAAGTTGATATATTTAGCTCTACTTCAGGGCGTACTTTTTAAAAACATTTTTTTGCTGATGATTAAACTAAACCTTGCTCATAATAGAAAAATTCAGAAGATACTAATAATTTTTTAGAAAAATAGAAAAAAGCCTCAAACTACCCAGTCTTGTCTGTAGTTCCCCCCAACCCATTTTGAGTTAAGAACATACTCTATGAAGCAATTGTTTATCCTGTTATTTTGACTTTAAAAATATATCAGGAGCATGTTTCCATTTGTAGTCAA